ATTGAAGGATATAGTACAAAAACTCAATGAAATAAATACCTCTCAAGGAATACTCTGCATCTAGATTACCATTCAAATTTGAAGGAATTATACAGAACTTCATGGACAGAAAACAGCTTAGGGAATTGGCTTAAAACCAGTTTTGTAAAAAGTGTAAAAAGCTCCTGTAAAGGGCAGGGGAACGTCCCATCATGTGGCCTTTAGTATGATACTCACGATTGTTTCATCTGGCTATCCTCTACTAGATTAAGAATGATTAAAAACATACAGCAACGCATTATCACAAATTTACTTTTGTTGTTTTCTTTTCTGATACGTCTACCCATCATTTATTGGTTTTATTTGGACCAATTGATATAAAATACATTTGTTATATGAGGCCAAGTGGGTGGGATGGAACCTGGGGATATTGGCAGAGAGAAGGAGACATTAGTGTTGGGATTGGTGTTGGAACATTGTATATCTGAAACAACTCTATTATGAACAACTTTGCAAAAGCAGTGTCTCAATAAACCTGCCGGGGGGGGGGGGGGGGATAAAAAACTATTTCAAAAAAAAAACATCAGGAGGCTGGGGGTGGGTAATGAGGTGAAGATTCCTCTAAGAATAATGAAGATACCAATTACCAAAATCTATGGAGGTAAAAGGTAAAGGCCCTCCCGTTGATCGTCGATTTGCTCGAGCGGGCCCAGTAACGTCTCCATTGGAGACTTTGTTGTTACTGTGTCTGGCATATCGAATACTCTCGGTAGCTTGCCGGGCTCTCCGAGAGGGGCGGAGGATTCGAACTCGGGTCGGCCATGTTGGCCGCTTGTAAGGCGAACGCCCTACCCGCTGTGCTATCACTCCAGCTCTATGGAATACCACATAAATTGTGTTAAAAGAAAAGTTTATCGTGAGGCAATCATTCATCAGGAAACAAGAAAGGGCCCCAGTAAGTAACCTAGCTGTACCAGAAGTAATTCTTGATTATAAAGCTAGAAATCACTCCCTGAGAAACCTGAATGAGACAAGAAGGAGGAGGAAAAGGAGGAGGGAGAGGAGGAGGAGGAGAAGGAGGACAAGGAGTATGAGAAGGAGGAGGAAGAGGGGAGGAGCATGAGGAGGACAAGGAGAAGGAGCAGGAGGAGGAGGAGGAGAAATGGGAGGTGAGAAATGTACACTGATAAAGAGACAGGTGTTGGAACATTATATGACTGAAACCTAATCATGAACAACTTCGTAACTGTGTCTCTCACTGTGATTCAATTAAAAATTTTTTCTTAATTTTTAAAAGTGAATGAACGTTACACAACAACAACAACAACAACAGCAACAAAAACAGAAATGCTGAGCACTGCCAGTGTGGTCCTCCCCCCCCCCCCAAAAAAAAAAGATAGAAAACCGAAAGACGAGGAGTAAGGAGAAAACAAGAAAGAGAACTCCTGTTATTGGTTTCATTTTGGATACTTCTACCCAGCATTTATTAGTTTTATTGGACCAAGTAATATGAAATACATTTGTTAAATGCCTGCCAAGTGGATAGGATGGAACCTGAGGATATTGGTGGGGAAAGGGGACATTAGTGGTAGAATTGTTTTTGGAACGTTGTATATTTGAAATAACTCTATTATGAACAAGTTTGCAAAATCAGGTCTCAATAAACATTCCTCAGTGAAAAAGAAAAAATACTTTCAAAACAAGGACCTGGTGAGGTGTGGGGTGGCTGGGGGGAAGAAGATTCCTGGAAGAAATAATGAAGATACCAATTACCAGATCATATGGGATAACACAAAAACTGTGTTAAAAGATAAGTTCATAGTAAGGCAAGCGTTCATCAGGAATCCAGAAATGAGCCAAATAAATAACATAACTGCACCAGGACTGATTCTTGATTATAGATCCAGAAATCACCACTGAGCACCAGAATGAGAAAAGGAGGAAGAGAAGACAAAGGAGGAGGAGGGTGAGGAGGAGGAGGAGATATGGTGTTGGGAAATGTACCCTGCTGAAGAGGCTAGTGTTGGAAAATTATATGACTGAAACCTAATCATGAACAACTTTGTAACTGTGTCTCTCACTGTGATTCAATTAAAAATTTTTTTCTTATTTTTTATAAGTGAATGACGATTAAAAAATACCTGACCATCGAAAGATGTTATTTCAAAACAAAAAAAAAAACCCAGAAAACCCAAAGACAAGGAGTTAGGAGAAAACAAAGAGGAGAACTACAAGAAGTTCGGAGGATACTAGAAATTAAAAAGAATGTTAGAAATCAGCTCAATTCTGCTGCTTCTATGACTTTTGGTATTGTCATTTGATGCCACCAGGGGGCAGTGAAGGCCTGTATTCTGGTACTATCATTACCGTTGTTTACAGGAAATAAACTCAAAAGTCTCAAGAAATGCTTCTCACCAAGTTTTTTTTTTTACAAGGGAAATAAGAGTGGACTGTCCCAAATCCGCTGTGTTTCCTTGAGTCCAATGACACAGAAGGGAAAACAGGAAGTTCACTGTAACGTCAAATGGGGCTGCCTCCCCTGTTTGCCTTCTGTGACCCACATTTTAAGGATTCAAAATAGTTGTTGTTCGTATGTCCTCGGAGTTTATACCTGAAAAAAAGAACGTGTGTGTAGCAGGGGCAGCAAATGGTTTTCTAACCTCACTGATACTTTTAACTTGACATTATAGTCTTCTTTTTCTTAAATGCTGTCAAGTGCATTTTCCCCTCCTCTCCCTTATTCGATGTTGCAGAGGTGGTTGTACAATGATGTGGGACAGGGGGCATAGAAACATTGACTGTGATGCTTTTCCACTGAGTTATGTTGCTCGCTAGAGCTGCACATCAGGTGCAGAGCTTTCCCCACTCAGCACCAAGTGCCGCTCTTCAGGGCTGCCCTTCTTGGTCTGGTACCACACATATTATACTGTTCATTGGGGTTGTACTCCACTAACTTTGGAGTTGACACACACATGCTTGTCTATGCTATGGATGGGAGTTGCTTGCAGAATTGGGAATCTTCACAGCAGAGCTGACAATCTGAAATAACAAAGCACCTGGATTGTACTCAACACATGTGGAGGTACCAGGGATTGAACAGCAAAGCAGGCATTCCAAGCTCTGAATGGCCTTCATGGTTTTTGGGGGTTTGGGGGTGGAAGTAGAAGGAATATAGCTTATTAAATAATTCATTAAGTTTCTCTTTACATGTTAACAACCAAATAGTTTGGCAAACTTGAAAAAGCTGCTTGAAGGTAGAGTAGAACTCCCAAAGTAGACATCATTCAGAGAGGCTAAGAATGTTTCTAGAAAGCAGCTAAGTGCATTGAATTGAACCATACATTTTTGTAGCACTTATCCACACATCATTTCTAACTGACAGTTGGCATAGGCATATCCTATATAAATGAGGAAATTCAGTGATGGAGAGACTTAAAGACTGAGCACACATTTTGGCATCATGTTAGGGTGGAGAAAATAAGAATTCATGGTCTGCTAACAAAAAAGGAACCCAATCTTAAGCCATAAATTGCAGAAAAGATGAGAATCTAACATTATTTTTTGAAACATTTAGATGAAATAGTATCCACAGTAACTGAAAGAGGACTTATAAGCATATAGTATTTACATATAGAAACTGGATCACATATCTATGAATGTATTGATCTAGAAGAAAACCACCCCAGAAGGTTGAAAAAAATTGCTTGTGGCCTACTCACAAATAAGTGGAAAATCTGACTGTTCATAAATACAGCACTGTATGGATAAAAATGCAGAAAAATCAAGCTTGTGTTTCTCTGTCTCTCTGATTCATATCTCCATGTGACACCTACTGTTTGGATACACAATTCAGACTTGATCCTGGCTAAATACCAAAGCAGGATAAAATAAGGTTACTAATTGAATAATTCAAAGAGATATGAAGAGAAGCAGAGACAAAAACCTATTATTCCTGGCTTGTGCCCTTGTTTGTTGAAAGGACTCCCTCCCTGGTATGTGTGTGTGGGTAATCTGGGAGTGACAATCTGCTACTGAGACTCAGGACAACAGATGCTTCAGCACAAATATGTGTGGTTGGGGTGGTGACAAGTACGCACCTGAGAGACTCACCACTGACAACCAACCATCAAGAGTAGGTGTTTACACAAAAGGTAACTTCACTTTGCCAATGTTAGAGAGAACCTGAAACATGAGCACCCATGAGAGGGCATTTCCTGGAGTAACACCTTACTGAGTGATCATTGAGGCAGTCACATTACAAGCAAAGACCCAGAAGAGTAGGAAGGTCATGAATGCATTCGATGTCAGCACATTTATTTTCCTTTTCAAATCAAGTATCAAAAGGTTTGTATGAGAAAAATTTATACCATGGAAAATAAATTTGTTTGATAGTTATGCTATGCAGAACTACAGAGGTGGCAGAGGTAGTCTATTGATTGTTAGATCTCTGGCACCAGATCACTCTCCTGGGTTTGGCCTTGGGGTCCCAGAGCACTACCATGGTGGCCCTGATGGTCCACAGCACCATACAGTGTACTTGGTCCACAGCACAACTCAGCCAGGGCATTGAACTGCAGCCTTGTTATCAGAGTATCACTGGAAATATCACTCCATGCCCCCATCAGTGCCAAAATAGGATAAGAAGTCAAGAGAAATAAACGCAAATCATTATGATTTTTTAGAGTAATGCAGAATCATCTGGAGTCCAAGTCCAGGCCAGAGAGGGATGAGCAGAGGCAGGTGCAGGAAGCAGCTTTGCATGCAGGCTCCTCCCTTCTCTGGGGCAGGGGAGGGATAAGAGCTGGGAGAGATCCAGGCCCAGGGTTGGGGTGTCAGCAGGCAGCACTCTGGGCAGCTCCATCATGACCTGGGCTCTTCTCCTCCTCAGTCTGTTCAGTCAGAGCCCAGGTGAGACTCGGGAAAGGGACCCTGGGCACATCTGGGCTCACCCTTTGTCTCCACTCCTCAGGTTCATCCAGAACCAGTCTGAATTCACCAGTATTTTGTTTCTCTTTCTTCAGGAACCTGGGCCCAGAATGTTCTCAATCAGCCTCTCTCAGTGTCTGGAACTCAGGGACAGACAGTTACCATCTCCTGTACTGGGACCAGCAATGACATTGGGAGATATAATGCTGTCTCCTGGTACCAGCAGCAGGAGGGCACAGCTCCCAAAATGCTGATTTATAATGTCAATAAGCGGCCATCAGGGATCCCAGATCGCTTCTCTGGCTCCAAGTCTGGCAACACAGCGACCCTGACCATCTCTGGGCTCAAGCCTGAGGATGAAACTGATTATTACTGTTGTTCATATACAACTAGTAGCACTTTCCACAGTAGTTGCTGTACACAGGGAAGTGAAACAAAAACTGCTGAAAGTTTCCTTGAGGTCCTTCTCTCCACAGCTTGGAGGGTATTTTTTAATTAATGATTTTAAGTTGAAATAATAAGAAACTAATAAATTTTAAAGACAACACTGAATTCATATAGGTTTTTCTTTTTAAAATATTTTAATTTAGTTTTTTAAATAAAGTTCACAATAATTCATTGCATTTAATATTCTAACACCAATTCCATTGTCATTGCACCTTCCCACCACCATATTCCAAATGTTTCCACCCCAAATATCTAACCATGTACCCAAAGCAGAACATAAATAATTAATTTTGTATTGCTTGTTTTCAATAATCCACTAAAAATGATCCAATGAAGTTTCCTTAGAGCAAAGTGTTTGAAGATTGTTATATTTCATCCTAGAGCCATTAAGCCTTTGTATAAGAGATTATTAACATGTTTGTTCAAGGTTTGAGCCTTGTTTGTGTGCATATATATATATATATATATATATATATATCACTGTCACTGTCACTGTCCTCCCATTGTTCATCGATTTGCTCCAGAGGGCCCAGTAACATCTTCATTTTGAGACTTGTTGTTACTCTGTTTGGCATATCAATTACGTGACGGGTAGCTTGCCAGGCTTTGCCGTGCGGGTGAGATACTCACGGTAGCTTGCCGGGCTCTCTGAGAGGGGCAGAGGGATTGAACCCGGCTCGCCGGACTGACTGCGCACAAGGCAAATACCCTAACACTGCGCTCAGGTAGGGCGTTTGCCTTGTGCACAGCCAGCCTGGCCGATCCAGGTTCGATTCCGATATATATGTAGCACTATCTTCCTATTGTTCATCGATTTGCTCGAGCGGGCCCAGTAACGTGTCCATCGTGAGACTCGTTGTTACTGTGTTTGGCATAACAAATACATCACGGGTAGCTTGCCAGGCTTTGCCATGCAGGCGAGATACTCTAGATACTCTTGGTAGCTTGATACTCTTGGTAGCTCCCAGAGAGGGGCGGAGGAATTGAACCAGGGCCGACCAGGTTGGCTGCGTGCAAGGCAAATGCCCTACCCACTGCGCTATCACTCCACACCATATATATATATATATATATATATATATATATATATATATATAGTGACTTCTACTTTAAACCCCATCATATATTGTGTGCTTTTCTTGGTACAACAGTGCTGTAGATTAGAGAAGGTTGCACGGCCACAAACACTCAAGGAATCCTAAAATTTAGAATAAGATTATACAGCAGATTCACTCATGTGAGCCTATGGAGAGCAGTCATGAGCACAGAGGTGATTGAGTTCTATACTTTTTTGGCTGCTGGGGCTCTGTTGGGGTGGATGGGAAACTCATCTGCTCCCTTCCGAGTTGCCCTGGTTAAGACAGCATGGCCCAGGATCTGTAGGCATCTCTTTGGCATGTTGTTCTATGTTACTCTCTTCTGGGAGATTTATTTCTGACAATCTGGATCACGGCTGTCGATGAGATTATATGGTACCACAGGGCAGTTTGTGGGTATGACCCTCTTTTCAACAAATCTTAAAAGATTTTTAATTTATTTTAATGTAGACAAAAGTCACAACTATTATACGATTCTAGAGTTAAAGGGTTGGAGGGATAGTACAGTGGGTAGGACGTTTGCCTTGCACTTGGCCGACCTGGGTTCAATTCCTCCATCCTGCTTGGAGAGTCCAGCAAGCTACCGAGAATATCCCGCCCGAATGGCAGATCCTGGCAAGCTCCCTGTGGCATATTTGATATGCCAAAAAAGGTAACAACAAGTCTCATAGTGCTTCCCTCCAAGTTGCCCTGGTTAACCTTATCCCTAGTAATGAATAGGTGATGTTGAATTTCATAACTAGAATTAATTTCCTTAAAACCATTAATCCATTGTTAAATTAGCCAACCTTTTAAGTATCAGTTAACCTGTGTTCTCAAACTCCAAGGTAGCATGATACTTTCAAATGAAATATTTGGTTTATATTATAATCCATGGCAAAATAAATATCGACAGTTAAGGAAATTTTATTTTTATTCCCTCCTAGAGAGGAATAATCAATACGGATTAAAGTGTTTCTATAATCAATAATTAATTAAAAGGTAAAAAGGTAAAGGCCCTCCCGTTGATCGTCGATTTGCTCAAGCGGGCCCAGTAACGTCTCCATTGGAGACTTTGTTGTTACTGTGTCTGGCATATCGAATACTCTCGGTAGCTTGCCGGGCTCTCCGAGATGGGCGGAGGAATCGAACTTGGGTCTGCCATGTTGGCCGCTTGTAAGGCGAACGCCCTACTGGCTGTGCTAATAATTAGAGTGTTTCTAATAATCAATACTGATTAGAGTGTTTCTCAAACCCATCTCATTCTAGGAAAAAAAGTTAGGACTAATAAAGTCTGCAAGGAGTCCCTGCATGGCACAGACCTGTGTCCCACCAGCCCCACTAGGTGTCCATCAAACCACACCTGATGTCTATCTACTTCTTCTACTCAGTATGAGAATTAATCTATACCACCTAATTTGTTTTTTTAAATTTTTTCTACTTTATAATTTTTTTCACAATATTTCATTACATTTAATATTCAAGCACCAATTCCACCACCATTACACTTCCTACCACCATATTTTGGGTGGTTCCATCCTGAACTCCAATCCCTGACCCAAAGCAGAACCAAAATAATATAATATTTCTCTCTAAGTTTGGTTGCCTTCTATTTAGAATCCCATCAAATATGATGTGGTACTTGGTACTCTTGGAGTGGGGTGGATTGAGAGCACAGCAGGTGGGGCGTTTGCCTTGCTCAGGGTCTACCCGGTCTACCCAGGTTCGATTCCTCCAACCTTCTTGGATAGCCCGACAAGCTACCAAGAATATCTCACCTGCACAGAAAAGCTACCTGTGATGTATTCAATATGCCAAACACAGTAACAATTGTGGAGACATTACTGGGTCGCTCGAGCAAATCGATGAACAATGGGAAGACAGTGACAGTGACAGTCACTCTTGGAGTATGGGTAGTGTGTGTCATGGCTGCACAGTCCAGGAAAAGATTTACTCTTGAGTGATGTTTGGCCCAAGAATGTGGAAAGTGGCCATGAGCAGGGGGAAGTTGCATTCTGGAGGTTTTCAACTCCCGGGACTGGGTCCTTTGGGGCAGGAAGTGTTCTCACTCGAACCCTCTGGGGTGTCCCAAGTGAAACAGACTGGCACAGGTTTCGATGGTATGGTTATGGAATGCATCATGTTGCTGCCTTCTGGGAGAAAAGGACATGTGATGTGGATGGTGATCAGTGAACGGAGTATCTGGCTCCAACTAGGGGTGGCTTATGGGCGTGATTGCTGAGTTGCCGGGGACAGGGGAATACAAGCAGAAGATCTCCATTCCTGATCCCATTGAACCTAGAGTTCTCAGTCATAAAGTCCCACATACCTGGGTTTTCTGGATTCACTCCACCACCCAATTTTGTAGGAGGCAAGGACTTAAGCTGAAACAATGAATTGCTTTTATCAGGAAAGGAAAATCAGTCCTTGGTCATAACTAGGGTTTCCTGGTCCTTGTCTTTCTCTCAGAAAAAAAAATTCTTGGGAAGAGTAGCAGTTAAGTAGAAACAGAATTTATTTGGAGGTTTTCTGAGAAGCAGAAGTAGGGAGAGAAAGAGAGAACATAATGCTGTCAAGAGAGAGAACAGACTTCTGCAAAGGCAGAGGAGAGATGTGGGTGACAGATGTGCTTGGCACCACATATGCAATGTGGACACAAGTATCATGTGGAGTTGAATAGTGAATGTGTGCACTTCCTTTGTTCAAGTTGGCTTTTACAGGATTTTTCCCAAGTTACCCCACCTGGAGATTTCAACCTAAGTAAGAGTCCATTGCTAGGGTACTTGCCAAAGGAGTAAAGTTGGGATTGGTTGATGGTCTTTAAAATTCATTTTTTGGCCTTTGTTCTCACTGGGGATTCCCTCAGAGTGGGGTCCAGCCTTCTATGAGTCTGTTGGCACCAGATAAGGGTTTCAGGTCTTAATTCCTATGCTCACAAAGTTGGCTTTCTGCAGCCTGGGGAGTATTGGTTTTATTACTTCCCAAGAATTCCATTGCCATAGGGGTCCTTCCCTATCTACCTGTCTACCTTTAATACACATACATTACCATAAAATGGCAAGGATCTCACACTTGTGAATAAAGTTCTCTTAAATTCAAGACTACGTTTGATAGCTAATGACAAGCTGACAGGAAATAAATTTACCTTAATAAGAGCATGCACATTTTCACGTACTGTGCAGACCAGGTAAGAGTCTGCACAGTACATGAAAATGCAGTACATGAAAAGTAGTTTGGTTCCCTGGACATAAAATTTGGATTGGCTTATGGTCTTCTTCGAAATATATTTCTTGGTCTTTGTTCCTAATGGGGTTTCTCTCAGAGTGGGGTCCAGCATTCTCTGGGTCTGTTGGCACTAGATAAGGATCTATTAAGGGCTTAGTTCCTGTGCTCACAAAGTGGATTTTTGCAGCCTTGAATCTATTGGTTTAATTACTCCCTAAGAATCCCAATGCCATGGGGGCCCTTCCCTATCTACCTGCCTGTCTCACTGCAATGTAAGTCTAGATAAAACTCTGAGGGTTAACATGCCATCTTTACAAGCACCAGCCTAGCAGGAAGGCTATGCTGAGATTCCAAATCCCCAGGAACCATGGACTCTATGCTTAATCTGCTCCAAGAACAGATTTGTATTTTAGGGTTCTAAGGTAACTCTCAATATTGCATCAGTGAGTGCCAGGAACCAGGGTGCCTCATTGATGAAGCAGAACTCTACTAAGGACCGGGGTTCAGCAGGAAATTATTTGAACTCATGAGAGGTAGGACAGGATTTTATACTCCATTTTGTTTGCAGAACTGAGGTCTAAGGATCACAGTGCAGTGTTTATGACACTGTGTCAGAAAAATATGGAGCATGTGGGGCTCTTCAAATGTGGAGAATTTTTTGCTTTTTGCCAAGTGAAGTCAATGCCCTCAAGGGTGGCTTATGTGCGGCATGGAGGAGAGAGACGGTCACTTTCTCCTGATCCACCTCTGTCACCCCAGAACCCAAGTTCTTTTCTCGCCTTGCAGAAAAGAATTTCAGGAGTACATGAGAAGTGAAGTAAAGCAGATTTTGTTCGAAGAGTTTTAGAAAGGGGGAGGCAAGAGAGAAAGTGAGAGAGAGTAACACACTCAAGAGAGAACCCAGGCTTCTCCAAAGGCAGAGAGAGCCCCGATACACACCCCAGCATTAGATACAGGAACATGAAAGTACACATCTTAAGAGGGAAGATGTGGGTGCCACATGAGTTCAGGCTTCACATGTGCTTGGACACGTGGCACAAGCAGCACATGGGCTCAGGCAGCATATGCATTCTTTTGTTCAAGGTGGCTTTTATATATATTTTTTCAACTTACCCACACTTGAGGCTTCTACCTGGGTAAGAGTTCATTGCTAAGGAGGTTGCCAAGGAGAGTAGACTTGGAAGTGGTCAATTGTCATCTTTGAAATTTTTTTCCTGGGCTTTTGTTTCTGCAGGAACTTCTCTCTGAGGGGGGTCCAGTCTACTCTCTGTTACTGGGGCCAGGTGGAAAAATTATCAGGTCTTAGTTCCTGTGCTCACAAGGTGGGCCATGATGGCCTTAAGACTAGGAATTCCATTGCCATGGGCCCTTTTCTGTTTACTTGCCTATATCACAAGGATGGCACCATTTCTTCTCAAAAGACTTTTCTAGGTGTTGAAGAAGTTCCCCTCCATCAACCAGTCTTGGGTAATCCATAAATCCTGTCTTTGTTGTTGATGCAGAGGGGCATGGAGATCTTTGATTCTGGGAATGTGTGGCTATTTCATCAGCTGGCTGCCATTTGGCCTCAAGCAAACCTTACAGACAGTGTAGAGAATTCCCATATTTGTACTTGCCCAAGACAAACTTTTCAGTAAGTTGTTATTTAACCAGCCCTCATTCAAACTGGTGTACTTTGCCCTTTCCTCTTTTCTCTGATGAATCTTACCCAACATCCATCCTCTCTAACCCAGTAAAGAGTTCTTCTGGCCAAAGGCTTACTACAGTGTCTTTGCCCCAACTAACAAATTTTTCTGGTCTTTCTGATGGGGGTAGGGTGGGATCCTACAATGTATATTTATTACAATGAAAGTCTGCTGTGCTTACATTGTAGAAAAGGAATTTGGGAGGTCTGCAGGGACACACATCAAACCTCCATGTGGATCACATACATTTTATTTATAATTAAAAATATTTTTTAAAAGTTTTTGTGGCATTTACACACACAAGGGAACTCTATGTAGCTGTAAGAAAGAATGAAACCATGCAATTTTCTGCTACATAGATGGTATCATGCTGAATGAAATCAGTCAGAAAGGGGCAAGCAGGTACAGAATGATTGCTTTCATATACGGGATAAAAAATGCACTGTAAGGGAGCAACATATGTTCAAAGACAAGAAAACTGGAGAGTTGATGCACTGAGCTTAGTTTACTGTGGAGGGTGTGGAGTTGCACAGAAGGTGCCTTGGGACATTGGTTGAAAGAAGCTGGCACTCTGCTACTGTGTGTGGTGGTAGAAGGATGTATGCATGAAACTAGCATTGCCTGTTTTGTAAATCACAATACCTCAAGAAAGATGGGAAGGAGAATAGGCCATTCTGAGATACTAGTGAGTTCATTTAAATATCTATTGTGTTTTGAGTTTCCATTTCCTTAGTGAAAAATATTATGCATTTTTAAATTGCTTCCTTATGATATGTGTCCTATTTGGTGAAGTATTTAATGAAGTATTTACCCCTTTGGGGTGACAGTACGGTAGGTATGGCACTTGTATTGGACACATCTGACCCTGGTTCATTCTCTAGCACCTTATCTAGTCCCTTAGCATCAGAAGGGGTGACTCTTGAACAGAGTCAGGAGCAATTCCTGATCATTGCTGGGGGTGCACCACCCCCTCAAAAGAAAAAAGGGAAATACATTCATAAATACTTTATATAATCACATTTCCTGAGGTGTAACTGCTGCTCTTTACTCTATGAATGTGAGTGTGTGTGAGCTTGCATGAGTATATTAATTTCTATGTGATTCTATCCCGATTAGATTCATACTACAGCATTCAAGAGACAAGCAGTCTAATCATTTCAGGAAACTTTTACTTTTAATATAAAATCCATCTCCTCTCACAGGATTCTTTCCCTGTCCCTATCTGGTGCATCAAATAATTTATTTTCCATTTTAATTTTAATATTCCTAAAATGACATGAAAATTTAAGAATAGTCCTATAGAATTTAAACCATGGAGATTTATATTTTCACATAGCATGATACTCTGTGTAATCATCAAAAAATAATTGCTTCAACATCCAGCTCTTTTTATAGTAATTCCATGATTTGGATGCTTTAAGATCTTTTTAACAATCCACCACTCAAGAACAAGTGGATTGCTTCCATTTAGCCTCTTAGGCATAAGGATGCTGTAAAATTTTATGTAGAGTTTTTCCACGGACCTTTCACTTTCACTTTCCTTATACATATATATGCATATTTATATCAGAAATATATACATATATCAGAAATGGATCGAAGGTGCCTTTGGGACACCGGTGGATAGAAGCTGGCACTCTGCTGGTGGGTATAGTGTTGGAACAATGTATGCATGAAGCAACTTCCATTTCTGGATTTTGTGTTAAATGCATGTTGTTTTTCTCCATGTTTTGTGTAAATCTGCCAAAGTCTTCCAGAGTTGATAGATATTTCTCATTTCATATGGTTCCCCTATATTCACATCACTGCCAAATTCTGAGTTCTATGTCTTATATCTATCATCTTATTGGTGCATGATTATACCTCATTGTGATTTTTAGTTTGCATTTGTTGACTAATAATGAAGTTCTTTTTATGCTCTATTTTTCTATCTCTGTAGTTTACCAGAAAATGTTTGCTCTTTTTCATCACCTTTCTAGATGATTACTTTGCACACTCTATATGCCATTTATCCATTTCATGTTTGCAAATATTCTTCTAATTATATTTTTATTCATGTTTGCGGAATAATAAATAAAGGCACACATGAAGGTACTGGCAGAGGGACAAAGTCACGTGGGTTCCAGGGCCGAGATCTCCAAGCCTACTCGGATTGGAGTCGAGCATCCTCCACCCAGATCCTCCAAATTCCAGTAGGCGGGGGTCACACCCACCACCTGGCCCCCTGGCGCCGTATAATCCCATCAATGGCCAAGACTCAGAGACTATAAAATCCAGCTCCCG